AAGAATTACTCTTTCTGTACAATCTGTACAGTTGCATTTATATATATATATATATATATATATATATCGTAAATCTTCTTAGCAAAGATGTGTCATTAGAACTGTTAATTGAAGAAAATCTGCTTGGTAGCTACTACTGAACTCACTTTATCTACAAAACCAGTGATTCATATGAATGTGAAGAGTAAAGTACCAGTGCTGGTCTCATCAATGCACCTGTGGAACCAGCTGGGCATAGCGACCGTACTCAGATTTCGCCTTCCAAACGTATCACGTTTCAGGGAATACTGACCGCCAAGGAGAAAGATTCCTCCACAGATGTATTCTGCAACATCCTATCGACTTCTGACATCAAGCCAACTCACAATCCGACTTCAAAGTCATCTAGAAGATAGGCGGAAATCTTCTCTGAAGAGTACCAATCAAACTTCTTCGAAGTGCAAAAGGGGTGGAATTCCATGTGTTAAATCCCGAACCTCTGCATCCACAGAAGACGTTTGTTCAGTCCCTGAATCTGTGAAGGACTTGTCTTAATATTGAATGAGTAATTTAATTCTGATTTCCTAACTGAATTATGTTCCTATCTCACCCTACCCGACACAAACCCAACCAACACAACCTCATCATTATATTTATAATCCTTATCCCCACTGATGTTGCCTTGACTCTCGGTCAGTCTAAGTTGTATTCTAATTCCATTGTCAGTAAAATTAAATCTCAAAATTTTCATAGTGTTTTACAGTAATATTTACTGATGAACACGTTCCGAACACAATTTATCCCCACTCGAAATTATGTCAAAGCCTTAATCACTTCGATTATACAACTCCATTATTTCAGTTCATCGCTTGATTTGATTCGTAGTGGTCTTTTTCATATTTCTGGTCAAAATGAACAATCATTCCTATTGCACGTGTTGGGTTTGGACTCAATGAACAAGGATTCTGTAATCAAACTATCTCTCCACCCATCTAGATTACTTTCTTAGAATTTTGAACCTCTCCGATCCCATTGTGTGATTGTGTGTTAATGCATGCAGTGCAATCGCTGAAATTTTTTTCTAAATTACTTATTTTCTCGGGTCAATCATTCTTACCTTACCCACTAAATTCTTATGTTCTGACAGTCTAACTACATCCGATCTACTAGTTTGACCTAACTCATTGTTATTGCAAGGTATTTTGTTAATTATATTATTTTGTTTAATTGGGTCCACCGGGTCCATCAACCTACAAAGCTTGTCCCTGACTGAGTGAGTTTGTAGGTTTGAATACCATCACCCTAATTCCTGCTTTATTAAGAATCCTACGTAGAGTCTCAGATGTACCCTCCTTATATGGTAGATGAAAGTAGATGCCTTACATTCTCTCTACTAATTATGTTATCATTATCAATTTCACAATTATTTCCATTTTACTTTTCATCTTTTCTGATCGTTCTAATGAATCTTTTTAGAATAGTTACCCAGGTCAGTCCAGAAGATCACTATCAGATTTCAGGAATACCTTAAACTTATAAATTATCAAAGATGAGAAAATGTCAAAAGTCAAATAAAAATAATTGTGAAATTAATAATGATAACATAATTAGTAGAGAGAATGTAAGGCATCTACTGTTATACTATATAAGAAGGGTCCATCTGAGACCCTACTTTGGATTCTTAATAAAGCAGGAATTAGGGTGATGGTATTCAAACCTACAAACTCACTCAGTCAGGGACAAGCTTTGTAGGTTGATGGACCCGGTGGACCCAATTAAACACAATAATATAATTAGCAAAATACCTTGCAATAACAATGAGTTAGGTCAACTACATTGGTGAATCAAAGTAGTAGATCGGGTGTAGCTAGATTGCCGGAAGATAAGAATTTAGTGAAGGTAAGAATGGTTGACCCCGAGAAAATAAGTAAATAATTTAGAAAAAAAATTTCAGTAATTGCACAGCATGCGTTAACACACAACCACACAATAGGGTGGGAGAGTTTCAAAATTCTAAACAGTAATATATATGTAGGTGGAGCGCGAGAGAGATTGATTACAGAATCCTTGTTCATCAAGTCTACACCGTACACGTGCAACAGAAGTCACTGATCACTCATACTGGAGATGTGGAAAATACCACAACAAATCAAGTCAAGCGATGAACTGAAATAATGGAGTTGTGTTAACGAAGTTAGAAAGTTGTGTGAGTAATGCTTTGATATGAATATGAGCGACGATAAATTGTGCTTGGAACGTGTTCATCAGTAAATATTATTGTATAACACTGTGAGAATATGTGAAAATAAATTTTGCCTACAATGGAATTATAATCTTCCACAGTGTACATCTTCTATTCTTCTATCAATTAATTGAATTCTACTCTAACCCGTCAATTATATTACGTCACTCAAACTTCTTAATGAATTTTATTATAGTTTCTATCAGACTTACGCTTTCTGTCATCCAATATTCACAATTCTGGTTAATTATGTCTATAAATAATCTTCTTATTGACAGGAATATTTACTACGTGTTTATGTACGAGATTGTGTCCATTGGTGATCCAGCGGTATACTACTAGCCAAATATGCAAGTAATCTCTGATTCGACTCCTTAGAGGCGCACAACTTTACCCCTCTCAACCAGTTACAATCCCGACAAACATGGGAGGTTGTGTATGAGGCTAGCTGCTCTCTTCCGTAAGAAAATTATCATTATCAGTGAAACTTGAAATCTCAAGAGGCATCAATCTCTGTCTTCCTCATAGAAAAATTTAGAACAACACATTTAAGCGAGAACAATATTGTTGTTTTCAATTAGATCTCATCACAGGCTTAACTCTAATATCACTACATAAGTTTACAAATAAAATTCAAATATGAACCAATCATGGTGTTTCGTCTATAGGATAATAAGATGGTGCATATAAATTGTGCAATTTGTCATAATAGTAGTAATGATGATAATAATAATGGTTATATCAGTAATAAGAATGAAAAAGTGAGGCGATCTCTGATAACACGAATAATGAAAAACAGTATGATTAAACAAAGTGAGATTTTATTCTAGAGACTTTCTAGGAGTATACGAAGAACATTTTACGCAGCACACCTAAGTTTGTCATTCTCTAGCCGACGAGTGATTGGGACGCAAACGAAGGATAAGCTAGATAGCTTTGCCACATCTATGTGCATTTATCAATTCAAATGCATCTGCGGTGACAGTTATGTTGGGAGTACTACTAGACAGCTTAGCCAACGTGTCACTATTGAACATCTCCCATCGTGGTGGTTTGGCAAAGGACAGACAATTTTGTTATATTTAATTGATATTGGCCATGCAGTCGAGAAAACGAGAGCTTTTAAAATAATTCATCATATCCCACCGTATTTTCCAGTAGACTTCGTATTCGTCTACTGCAAAAATCTGAGACAGGCGATAGACATTCGAACTATTAAAACTAAACTATGCATTCATTCAAAAGAAGTTCGTACAGCCATTATCCCTCCCTTGTTGGCCTATTAAGACATAATCAATTGATGACTTCTACACCACCCCTTGTTTATATTTTCAACCCCTCTCTTATCATCCCTTAATCTTATCACATCTTCATTAAAAACGTGTTTCAATTCTTTCCCTTACAATCTAACATTACTTAATCGGTTCATTTGTTTTCTTACGAGCCTTTATCGACTACTACGCCTACCTGAACATTTGTTTGTTTAGTCATGCTGTTTTTCACAGATCGCCTCACTATTTCATCCTTATTATTGACAAAACCATTATTATTATCATTACCACTATTATGACTAATTGCACAATTTATATTCACCATCTTATTATCCTATAGACAAAACACCATGAATGGTTTATATTTGAATTTTTATTTGTAAAGTTATGTAGGTATATTAGAGTTAAGCCTGTGATGAAATCTAATTGAAAACAACAATATTGTTCCCGCTTAAATGTGTTGTTCCTCATAGAAGTCGAAAGGAATAAAGGAAATGTCTATAAATGTGAATGATATCACAGATGCAAGTATCCCTGTAGTGTCCGCAATTCCTTATTTTGTTATTTTATTGCTTTGATAATTTTTTACTTCGTATATACTTTGATAAATAATAATAAATTTATAATTTATAATATTTAAATTGTTTTTACATGTTTCACGTTATTTATATACCTCTTTCCATTTCAACGCGCCAGAGACTAGGGGCTTCATAAAGAGCACCTCAAACAAGATACATACCTTCAGTAACAGATCAATGCTCAAGATCAGATGGCCGACCAGAAAAAATCAGCCACAAGGATCTCTAGGAGCGAAACAACTCAGCAGGAACCGATTGTGCAATAAATAGGATGGAAGAAATGGAGATGGATTGGCCATACTCTGAGAAAACTAACCATCAAGTGACATCACTAGACAAGCCATTACTCGAATGGAACCCGAAAGGGAAGCGGCGAGTTGGTCGTCAGTGAAAGAGTGACTTGGAGGAGGTCATGTGAAGAGGAGATGAAAGCATATGGGCAGACTTGGAGCCAGGTGGAAGTTAAATAACTGTTTGAGAAGGATATAAGCAATGAGCAATACAAGCCTATCAGAAAAACCAATTTGAAGTCGATTTAACCAGTAAACAGGAAGAGAAAAAACAACCATGAATTGTAAATTGAATTGCTTAGGAGAACATTAAGTGACAGGCCCCAGATCACTCTCTTCCTATGAGTCATGAATACGAAATGACTAGTTGTGTATGACTCCGAGAATGTGAAGTGAAGAGGTTGCCAGAAGGATGAGGCCTATGAGCAGTCATGAAGGCAAGTAGAGAAATGATGACAGAGGACTGAGTGAAGTGCAGATGTCCCACCGGAAACATAATAATAATTACAGAATATATATATATATATATATATATATATATATATATATATATGCGTATACATATATTCTAATTTATTTTGGAAATATAACACAAGTATATAGTATAACACTAAGTATTCTTGATATGATTTCAACTTACATGGTTCATTGACATCAAGTGCAACGGTGTAAATGAAGCCAAGTATTAAGATGAAGAAGCAAGATATTCTGTTCAACATTGTTGTACTAATGGTAATCAAAAGTAGAGTGAAGTACACATATGTGTATGCCTGTATTTATATCTAGACTACCTTCAGCCTACACTCAAATCTGGTTGGATCATTTACAACAAAAAAAGATGATAATGATGTAATACAGTTAGTAAGTATGTCCATGTATTGTAAAATGTACTGATTGCGGCAGGGATCAAAACAGTGTAATTAGTATTGTTATCGTTGTTATTGTTTTCGTTATTATAACCACTATTACTACTACTACTACTACTACTACTACTACTACTACTACTACTACTACTACTACTACTACTATAAAAGGGTGTATACATTTGTCACGGCTGCTTACAGTACAAAGCTAATTCAAAGCCAAGTTATGTGACCCAAGATCAGAGGAGTTATTGAAAGTTTTTTATTCATAAATATAAGAGATAATATTATGTATATATGTCGTCTACTTTTATTCTCTTTAGCCTAAAATATTTGCTTATAATGTTAATAAATAAATAAATAATCCTTCTCTATATTATACCGGGTGCCAAATAAATCACCAAAAACATCGGAGCACCACAGGCTCCAAACAGCACAGGCTATTGCGTTTCGCCTCAAACAACCAGCACTCTGTGTCCAAAAGAAGCAAGTCCAACCCCTACTATTGCCCTGGCCTTCAGTAGAAGCTATTAAATCATGAATTTGTACTATTATCTTTCTTAATGTTTCTGACATTCAGCTTATTCTACTATGTTGATGCGATTCAGGTGTAATTTATCAATATTATTGATTTGATATTATTTAAACATTAATGTCGTTTATAACACTAACTCATTCATTCACTATAATGTATGTATAAATGTAGAGTCTGATAATGAATTTATCGGAAAGACTACTCTTAGTTCAGTATCCATTCTTTTGAAAATAAATCAAAAATAAATTTACATATAACTTGTTTAATTCACTAAGAGTTTCTGTGAAGTGAGATTATTTACTTGTGTGCATCAATGACATACCGGTATAGAATGCTTGCCAAATGCATAGATGATTTGGGGTTCACTCATCGCCTGATACACTCCTCTTCGTTAACCTTACTAAGCCAACCATAAGAGAGAGAGAAAGAAGAATTGAGCGTGAGGCAGCTAGCAACCCTATCCCGTAAAAAAAAAAACACCACTGCTACAGAAGCTTAAAGCCTCTAGCTTGAAGTCACTGTATGTTCCACTGGGAACATGAACAAATAAAATAATGACAATAATACAATTGTTGTAGAATTGCGATTGTATACAGTTTGTTTCATGAAGGTGTAGTGCACTTCCTAGTGTGATGATATAAGTAAGTTAGTTGGAGGCAATCGGCCACAGGAAGCCTTGCCTGACCTAGGTGTCGTGCGAGTTGGCACTCACCAGTCATTGAACACTAGCTACTAGTTTTCAATGAAAATATCCACTACAGTCCTACAGGAGGTCAATCGCGAGCCCGAATAGCTCAGTGGTAACTTCGCCTCTGACTGCAGCAATGGGTGACGCGGGTTTGAATCTCAGAAGCGACATGATTCCCTCCAACTAGCACGAAATCTAGGTCAGGCAAGGCTTCCTGTAGCCGATTGCCTCCAAGTAACTAATATCATCAAATCAATGTGCACCGTAATGCCAAGCTACTTGTGATGGTGGACACATTGCAAACCTCACTGACAATAGAATTTAGTTTGCACCAAAGAAAGGACTAGACGCGTCACACTAGTTACTAATGTCCAATGAAAATACTTCTTAGTGTTTTCATGTTTTGTTTTCATGAGTCCACTGACATCTGAGAAGTCTCGAATGACATCTTGAGCACTTACGTTGAGATGTTAACATTCATACATTCATGTACATACACGCACAAAAGCACACAATCTCTGAGTGTTAGTATTTCAACTATACAAACGAGATAATTTGAAAATCTTTTTTCCCTGAATAATCTTGAGGTTTTATTTTGACTGAAATATACTGCTCATTACAGGATATTACTAACTAACTGGTGTGCGTCGGTGGCAAAGCGGTTAGAATGCTTGCCGACCATGCATATGGTCTGGGGTTCGATCCCCAGCTGACGCACTCCCTTACCTCGCTAAGCCGGAAATAATGCTGGTAAAGAGGAAAGGTTAGGCATGAGGCTAGCAACCCAATCCTGTAAAATTAAAGACTGCTACGCAAACTTCAAGCCACTAGCTTGAGGCCCTATGTTCCACTGGTAACGTGAAGGAAAAAAAATACTAGCTAACTGAGTCATTTTGATTTATACACAGAAGACCAGTAGGTAGTTCAGCGAAGAGTCTCTTTTCGACAATGAATTCATTTTCATAGCTGTACAATAGCAAATATATACATGTTTATTTTCTATGTGCGTGTGTGTACATTAAATTTGCCCAAAAACGAAAATACACTTAGTAAGTCCAGATGAATTGGATGTTGGTATAAGATGGTAGTAACAAAAGTGATGAGTTGTCACAAATGATAGTTAAAGAAGAGTTACGTAATGACATGAATAGTTTGATGAAAGAGTTGTGCTCAGGGTGTATATGGAAACAAAATAACGTACCTTTTTTGACAGGATGCCGTTATCCACTATGATTCATAGACAAAAACATCAAACAGAAAATCCAAAAGCAAGAGAGGCCATCCGTGCCAAAAGAGATACTTTATATGAACATCGACTTCAAGGGTGACCTACCTAGTGATGTCCTTAGGAGGAGAATTTCCACTTCTTTAAGAAGAACTTTCTTTGTGGCAGCATCGAGAGTAGTGTGTTCCAGAAGCCCATAGGACAAGATCCCGCACATGACCGCTTATATGTGTATATATCAGTTCACCTATTGTTATGGAGCCAGATAAATTGGTCGTTCAACGCACATCTTGTCAAAATGGTCAAAGAACACTATCCACCGTGGCTGCAGAAGGGAAGTAGTGGCCATATAAGGAGTGTAATAATCGAAAATCTCGTCAGCACTCATCATTCTATCTCACCAAACGCCTCCTTCAAAGCAATCTATCTACAAAGTGAAAACAACCTGCCAAAGACAATGCGTTTCTGACTTCTTTTGCATTACAAAAGCCCTAAGCATTCAGTTGAAAGAACCAGAACTATGCATACAAAAGAGAATTATTCAACCGCTTCTACTATCATGGCAACAACTTTGTTGATTTGACTTAACTTTGGCTTGTTGTCTTATTTTTCTAACTACCTAAAAGTCTTGCGTAATTCCGCATGTTATTTTGTTTCCATGTACACCCTGAGAGCAACTCTTTCATCAAACTATTCGTACTATTACGTAACTCTTCTTTAACTATCATTTGTGACAACTCATCACTTTTCTTACTACCCTCTTATGTCGACATCGAATTCATCTGGACTTACTAATCGTATTTTCATTTGGCAATGTACACGCACATAGAAAATAACTATATATATATACATATGTTTGCGATTGTACAGCTATGAAAATGAATTCATTGTCGAAAAGAGACTCTTCGCTGAACTACTAGTCTTAATGTTCAAATAGTAATTTTCGACAAACTGAAGATACAACAATCAGCGGAAGTTCTGTCTCATAAAAATACACATTTGTGCATCGATTGTGCATGTGGTTGTGAGTGAGTTTTTCCGGTTCATGCTTGAAGGGTGAATTGTGTGACATGAATAAGCAGACATGAGATGAAATTAGTTATATTGTTGATCGTTCCGAATAAGACATTGTCATTTGGGTGTAAATCTGTACTGAAGTTGATACTCTGATGTCACCTTCTTCAACTGCTTCTATCCCAAACTCACATCATCCCCTTCATATCACACTCGTTCATCAAACTAATCGCATCTCAGTCGGCCTTCCACTGTCCACCGCCTCTTCCAACCAGCTGTTATTAGATCGTTTGGTTTAAATGATGCAGAAGTGAAGCGATAGTGTCACAGCATCTAAAAAGCTTACTCCACATTGAAGTCAGCAATCAAGTTGATGTCTTCAATGTCTGTATTGAGCAAACTTCAACTCTACTACTCAAAATGAACAACAGAACCATACCAAAAGCAGATGTCTCGCCTGCATCCAATATTTCTCATAACCCTACACCTCAGACAGCTACACGACAACCGGCCACTGTATATATCACTGATGATATATACTGTGATAGGTGGGAAGTTTTTGCACAGCAAGTAGATTATCTCAGTCATTGACTATTACGCATATACACCTAAACGTGCGTTGACTCATTTCATAATGTTTAATTCTACTAGTTAGTCAAATATTGATTTGTTTTTCATGTAGAAACCACCTCTGTGGAAGTCAACGCTATTCCACTCTGTTCTGTTTTATTTATCACATACACAAATACACGATGTTCAGTCATCTTTCTTCTCTTGTAGTTTGTTCAGTGTGTGGTGTAGTGTTGCGTTGTGTTGTTTTGCTTTGAAGGTATGCAGCACACTCATTAGTATCTATCTTCTTTGTACATTTTTTATCAAGTCTTTCTTATAAATTGTATCTCTTATTTGCTTTACATTTGTAAGTATTTTGTTCCGGTGTTGTTTTTGTTTTGAAGAAGTCATTAGGAAGTAGGCCGTTAGGTCACGTCAACAATTATCACTACTCCGACTAATCAGATCACTTGTACCACTACAACTGGCAATGTTGTTGATGATCACGGTGATGGTGAGTGAGTGAGTGAGTGATGAATAGTATAGAGTGGTATGACCAGGTAGCTAATGTTAAACCTCAGCGTCCATATTTCTAATCACAAGGACATCGCAGTGAAGTTGCTTATTACTGTGAATAAAGATTTCACTTCAAAGTGCATTCTGTCAATCAGTATCTCTGATTTGTCATCCTCAAACATGCAGTGAGCAATATTGAGGTTAGGCGCAGAGATGCTTAGGACATTTGTTACACATACCTAGCCACTCTTTTACCTTGCCTTGACTAGCTGAGGAGGCAGTGTTAGCTGACATAGGACTGTAGATTGTTGATTGCTGTCTGGTTGAGATCTTCAGGATTCTAGGATCCAAATGTTTGGAG